CCCCTTCGTGCCTGGCGGCTGCGGGCGGCGCTCACGGAGCCCGGGTGAGATCAGAGTCTCTCAACCTTTTCCTGCCGCCCTTTCCAAAAAATAAAAAAGTGCCCCCAGGACCTACAGTTTTGAGTCGCCCCATTTCTCCTACCCTGGCAGCAGGTTGGTTTAAGCAACTTCATGGGAGCCGGGCAGGCAAAGACATTTTGAGTGTAAAGTACAAAATAATAAAGTGCTGTGAAACTTAAAACACAAATGCAGTTTTCTCCAAATTTCAGTTCTGCCGCCCTTTCCAAAAAATAAAAAAGTGCCCCCAGGACCTACAGTTTTGAGTCGCCCCATTTCTCCTACCCTGGCAGCAGGTTGGTTTAAGCAACTTCATGGGAGCCGGGCAGGCAAAGACATTTTGAGTGTAAAGTACAAAATAATAAAGTGCTGTGAAACTTAAAACACAAATGCAGTTTTCTCCAAATTTCAGTTGTGTTGAGTACCCCCCCCAAGACGTCTGCTGAGTACCCCTAAGGGTACTTGTACCACTGGTTGAGAAACACTGGGATAGAGCAGCCCTGAGGTATCTTTCCTTTGCACCAGTTACCAATTGCTCCCATTGGAGCAGCTGGGAATAGCCACTAGGTTGGAGTGCCCTCCCCTTCTCTGCCTCCCAGCCTGTCCCTTCTCCATGTTTCCCAGGCCTAGGAAGTGATCCAGAGCTGGCAGGAGTGACTCAACCCCTATACAGCATGGCTACGTCTAGACTGGCATGATTTCCCGCAAATGCTTTTAACGGAAAAGTTTTTCTGTTAAAAGCATTTTCGGAAAAGCGCGTCTAGATTGGCAGGACGCTTTTCCGCAAAAGCAAGCTTCCGTGGCCAATCTAGATGCACTTTTCTGCAAAAAAGCCCCAATTGCCATTTTCGCCATCGGGCCTTTTTTGCGGAAAATAAATCTCTGCTGTCTACACTGGCCCTTTTGTGCAAAAGTTTTTCGGAAAAAGACTTTTGTCCGAACAGGAGCAGCATAGTATTTCCGCAAAAGCAGAGACAGTCTTACATGAGATCGTCAGTGCTTTTGCGGAAATTCAAGCAGCCAGTGTAGACAGCTGGCAAGTTTTTCCGGAAAAGCAGCTGATTTTCCAGAAAAACTGGCCAGTCTAGATACAGCCCACAGGTACCCCAAGGAAGATCCAGCTGATTTATAGCCCTTCCATAGAGGTCAGCTCTGAATTCTGCAGGCCAGGGGAGCAGCGAATAGAAGTTTGCAGGACTGTGTTAGAGTGTTTGTGGAGCATGAACCAAGTGTTTATTAATATCCTGGCTGAGTTCTGTGCAATCACAGCATGGAGGAAAGTCTGAGGGGGTAGCCGTCTATGTCTTAAAGCTTCAGAGTTAATCTGTATCACGAAAAACTTAAAAAACAACAAAGAGTCTAGTTGGACCTTAGAGACTAAAAAAAACATAGATGGTATCATGAGCTTTCGTGGGCACAACCCACTTCTTAAGATGATAGGAGTGGGTTGTGCCCATGAAAGCTCATGATCCCATCTACATGTTTTGTTAGTCTTTAAGGTGCTACTAGACTATTTGTTGTTTTTTAAGTTTTTCATCTATGTCTTGTGTGGAAGAAAACAAGCCTTCACTCTGTGTTGTGTTTAAGCAACAAGTAGCCAGAGGCAGTTTTATTACGAGCTGCAGCAAGGGACAAACTGGTTGGGAGGGAGCCCTCGAATACAAGCAATTATGAAGCAGTTTATATACTGTCTATTAAATATAATAACAATAACAATTAGTCTCCTTCCCATTACAAACACCAATGGTTAACAGTTATTTAGTTCCACCCAGATGCTCCTTATCCCAAGATGGCTGTACACAAATTCCCTTATTACCTTTTCCTGCCTCCACACTTGCAACTTTGAAAACAACAAGCAGTCCTCCTGTGGCACCATAGAGACTAACAAATATAGGAGGTCAGGAGCATAGAGAAAGTATTTTGAAAATCTCCTTTGCATGCAACCCCAAGAACTATAAACTTTCTTCTTTTAAACGAGGATCTTAATACTTTAGGCAAATGTGATGAAGGGACTGTTTGCCTAAACTACCACAAGTAGGCCCAATTGGTTTCTGGAGAGGAAGTGATTGTTAGGCCATACTGAGTGGAGATCTGCTTTGCATTTTTTAAAACTTACAATCCTAAAACAGAAAACACTACTAGAATCTGAAGAGATAACTGGGTAGGCTGCCATCACTTCTCCTTAACTAGGGGGGGCCTCAGGCTATGCTTTCTGTCCCGGTTGAAATCTGCTGTTGCAAACAGGCTGCCTGAAGGGAAAGATGATTTTCCTGACTGGTTGAACCTGTTTAATCATTTGATTAATATTAATGACATAATTCTATGAGACTAACTATTGTAAAGGGTGTTGGGGTAGCTTGACCTTTTGTGACACTTCCCCAAAAACTGTTGAGTTGACACTTTTGAAGTAGGTGTTACACTTAAACAGACTGTACAGAGGAAAAATTAATTTCATCTCTAGTCATGTACTTACCAAAATACAGTATTTTAAAGCACTTGCCACTTCCACACAGAGACCTCTCTAGCCTGCCTGGTATTTCCCTATTAACAACATTGGGAAGGGTAGAGTGGTTGCAATCCCTGACCACTTGTTTGCAGTTACCAGGTTTAGAACCTGCTAGAAGTAGTGGGTGGTGGTAGGGTTGTGCAACACATACATGTGGTAGATAGTCAGGACTCCTGGGTTCTGTTCCTAATTGTATTCCTGACTCAGCTGATGTGTGCCTCAATTTCCCTATCACTAACCTGAGAATAATAATTCTTGCCTAATATGGGGTGGCATGAGGCTTACATCTAATGTACTTAAAGATCCTCAGAAGAAGACCCAATTAGAAGTTAAAAATATTTATATTAGCTGTGTGCTAACTAAGCAGTTAATACAGCATACCGTAGCCAATTAGTATAGTTCGGAGCAGAGGTTATGCCTGTGAACCTGTTGGAAACAAAGAAATTTCCATGTCATTTTCTTGCAGCAGAGGGTGGTATTTCCAGCTGCAGGAGCAATGGAAAAGCTGGTAGGGAAGCAGCAAGGTCACCTTCTTGCATGCCTGCATCAAGGAAGGCAGTTAAGCGTGACTTTTTTTCTGGGGGTTCAGGCCGGCTGTGAGTCACCTTGTTGTGTCCTCCCATGCCTGCCACTGAGAGAGAGGGAGGTTTGCTTATGCTTAATTGGGTTTGAGCTCACTGACTCCACCAATCTCTTAGCCACCCAAACAATCTCCTCTGAGATCTGCCAGTCTTCACTTTGCCTTGCAGGTAGCAACAGGTGACCTACCCCCTGAGTTCCTACAAAAGCATCCTCTTGTAGCATCAGTCCTTACCCACTGAACACTCCTAGAAGGACTGGCTCAGCTGTCCCCAGAGAAACCATGCACTCTCCTGCTTGATTGACTGGGCCAAGGATCAGCTACAAAGTAAGATCACCTCACATTTATGGAGAAAGCAATCATCAGTTTATTATCAAAGGCTAAGCTGGTAGAGCTAGTGAATAAGAACAGTGGTAATCGTTATTTATACAACAAAATCATAGCACACAAGCTGGGTCTAAACTTATCAGCGATCCCTCTCCTATATAACAATGTAGATTTCCCCAAAGATTCCGTTTTTTTGCACAACTGGTTTCAGATGGACAAAGCAGGATGTGAGCACCTGCTCCCGGCCAGGGTTTTTCCACTGTGATTGGATCACAAAATATCTCCTTGAGTTATATTATTATTCTTCAAAGTTCATGCATCCCACTCCCAGATAGAATAACTCCTTGGTGTCTTCCCACTCTCCAGTTGATTTCATATTTATATATTGGGCTCCAATTCTGTTGATTTACAGTGCTTAATCTCCATGGGAAGGGAGGTGAACTGAACAAACACGTGAAGATACATCCCTCTGGCTGGCAAAGCTTGTTTGTCAGCCCTCATGGGATACGACTAAACATATTTTTCAGCACATAAACACAGCCTCTGAAATATCACCTCTACATATGTCCTGCAACAGCAATAACGCTTAGCGTGGCATAAGCTTTTATTGGAGACCTGATATGATCTTTTTTGGAGCAATACTATTAAAGTAATATGTTAGTGACAAGTCTGACAGGAGTGGCTATCAGAGAACATTGTAAGATTCTTAGAATCACAAAAGCATGGCTTTTTGTTGCTCTCGGGAGTTGTTAGGAGAAAAATGAGTGTTTTGGTCCAGATCTGCTTTATTTTCTTGTTGCACATTGGAGTTGTTCGGCACCTGCATTTCATGTATCTTAGCATGCCCCAGATGAGGGCAGTATGAGAACCTGCACAGAGTTGGTCTGATTTACAAATGCAGCTGTAGGAGTGTTTTTTGTCCTTCTCCGTGTCTCTGAAGCAGGGAGCGCATTGCACAATGATTCATATTAAGGCCGGAAGTCATCATCCCAGCTACTTCTTATATAACATCCAGTGGTTCCTGCATCTAGCCCACTAATCTGTGGTCTAACTTGTAGCTGGAAGGCTCTGGCTGACAGAAGTACCACTGAGTTGTTTGCAACAAGAATGGATTTTGGAGAGGGTGTTTGTCTCTGCATACACAAAAGCCATCAACATCAGTGGGCCCCACATGTCCAGAATACACTGCTGCTAGTAACATGCAAGACATGAGGCATTAAAAGCTGTGCACTCAGGCGGACATGGGCTGTTGTGCGAGTGAAGAGCTGGATGTGGCCTTGAAGTCTCTGCACGGACGGGGTCCCCTCCCAGGTGTGGCTTTCACACTCCTGCATGTAAAGAGGGAGGTCACACAACACAACACCTCTCCAGCTCTGTCTCTCCCTTTGAGGCCCCCTTGGAGAGCCCAGCTGTATTTGCTATAACTCAGCCTTTCTCTGCACTAAGGAACCCTCACTTAAGGAAGGAGAAGTGGTCGGGAGGCCCCACCAGGCACCAAATGGAGTTAGCAGCAGTCAGCTGACCCCCCAGAGCCAGCATGATGTTTAGGATCAGCACCTGTTTCATAGGGGGAGAAACCTCCCTGCCTTACAAGTCAATGGTCAGCGGGGGACCTGCAAAGGAGTCCTCACAGGGACACAATAAATATATAATCAAGGAATGACCCAGACGTGGTGGGTTCCAATAACATGGCGTGTAAGACCTAACTACTGTACACACTACTGTTTGGCTAGATTCTGGGCAGCTTCTCCAACACAGAATATGGTGAGTACACACCACTAACAGGCTGGCAGACCATTGGGGATACCCTCTTCCTGAACATTACAGGGCCTTCTCCTGCAAAGACTTAGCAGGTGCTTAACTTCAGTGGGATACACAAGTGTAATCACACACATAAATCCTTGCAGGAGGACAGACCCAACTTTCCTCCTCTTTCTGGGAGAGCAATCTTTCCTTGGTCTCTTTTACTGCACCATAGAGTAAAATAAGTATGGCAGGGTACAGTGGTGTGCTAGAGGAGAGGCAAACCGTTCAGTGCTGCAAACACAGAACAGCACTCTGAAGTGGATAAAAACCAGACATATCTGCATCTCACAGACCTGGTTGCTTCCTTCCCAGCCCATCTGACAAGCGCCTAATGAATAGCATCATTCATCAAAGGTGAGTACATTCCATGGGGACTTGATGGCTCACCAGCTTGGTAGCGACCAGTCAGACATGGTCTGGGTTGGGAATGACTGACACTGGAAATGGGGTAAGGTTGCTGCAGGTTCTTTGTGAAATAAGGGAGCTGGTCTCATTCTACTGAGAAAGCGATAAGCGTTTGGTGTTTAAGGTCACAGGTTCAGACTTCCCTGGGCACCACACACAGTGTTCTGTGTATTCTGGGTGACGCATGGCTGTAACGTGTGAACAAATGGTCAGTTGCAATTAGACCCATCTCTTAGGAGACTAGCGCAGATTTGCCTACGTCAGGATGGTACAAAATCTGGTCTGGTTGAGCATCACTTTGTGTCATTGCTCCATGCATCACGAGTGCAGACTCACCAGGTTGTAAGACATCCTCCAACATAGCCTCCATCTTCCTCCAACATAGCCCTGGCCTACCCAGAGTGCTCCTTGTGTTAGGGCTTCTAGCACCAGAGGTGTTGGTGGGGCTTTATGTGGCCTTGCTGTGAATTGCTTCCAGTGTCTCTAGGGTGGCTTTTCTCCTACTGTGTGCAGAGCCAGTGCCCAGATCACAATCAGTGTCCTGTGTTGCCTCCTGAGAGTGACCAGCTGTCCTGTATTTAAAGAGACAGACCCATATTTAAGCTCTCCCACAGCTTTGTTTGAGGGGCAGGGTGTTGTTATGCCAATAGAAAAACTCCTGTGTGTTTCAGCTGCATCTAAGCTAGGAGACAATGCTGGCACAGTTATGTTGACATAGGCTCCGTAGAGTAGACTTTCATGTAAAAAGTGTTGCAGGGCCTCAGGTTTGCAGGGAAAAGGCTGAAGACATGACCCGAGTGTATCCTCACGGCTCAGAAAGCAAAGACACATAAAAAGACCTACAATGAATTGTTTACCTCTCTTTAATCTCTTTATTTTAAGACAGTCTCGTGATTTTTTTTATTTGCCTCCTGATGTTGATTCGCCTGAGGTTGGCAAATAAGTTTGCATTGACATGGCATCTCTCAGAGGCTAAGATTCATTTTTGCTATTCCAGGAAATTAGGGAGGAGGCAGCAGGAGACTACAGAGTTAGTAGAAGGTTGTATCCATTCTGGCTGATACAAGTGGCATGTGGTGGACACAATGTTTTTGTTCCTGGGCAAGGTACAGGTTTTTTTGTACTTAGTAGTGTATGGCCACTGGATGCAATATCAACATTTGATAGGCATACCATGCATCTGAGTTTTCCTAGACATGACCTCCTCTTTGGTCTTGCAGTCATCGTCCAGACAGATAGTTGAAATATGAAAAACTTCCCTCAAACACGTCCATGGAAGTTGTGGGAAAGGGTCTGCCAAGAACTACTGGTCACGTTGGACCTCAGGGTTGTAGAGGAATCCTCTGTTGACCTCTTCACCCCTTCCTGGGGGGCTGCCCTGGATGGCTCCCTAGCCATCTGTTGACTAGAGTTGCTTTCTCTTGCCTGCTCACTCCTCTTTAGCACCCATCAGTTTGCTTCCCAGACCTTTAATCCTTCTAGCTGCTGTTAGCCTGCCAATCAGCAGTGACTGGCAGTGCCTGTATTAATCCTTGTCATCACCTACAGCCCCCAACTTAAACCCATCCAACACATTATCAATGAACTACAACCTAGACTGGAACAGGATACTAAACTCCGAGAGGCTCTGGGAGATAGAAGAATCAAGATGATTCTTACCAACAACCACAGGACATACCACACTAAAACCAACCCTGGAACCTTCCCTTGCAACAAACCCTGTTGCCAGCTTTGTCCACATAGTCACTCTGCTGATACCATTATTGGACCTAACCAATTGAGTTATAAGATCAAGAACACATATTCCTGCTCATCCAGAAATACAATTTATGCTATCAGGTGTCGACAATGTCTGTCTGCTATATACATTGGACAAACATCTCAGACACTTCGCCAAAGAATCAATGCCCATAAAACAGATATTAGGATCAAAAAGAAAAAAACAGTTTCTTGCCATTTCAACCAGAAAGGGCACTGTCTCAATGACCTGATTAGCTGCATCCTGCTTCAAAGACCTTTTAACACCAGACTTGAAAGAGAATCCTCTGAACTGTCATTCATGCTTAAATTTGACACTTTACACCTAGGTCGTAACAAGGATGCTAATTACCTTACCCATTACAAAGATAGCTTCCTCAATTATCACCTCTAATATCATTAGCTCACAGACATTTACCTCCCGCCCTTAGCCCCCTTCTGTTCTGAAATTTGATTTGTCCTTTTCATATGTGTTCATTTTTTTGATTGTATCCTTTGGTATATATGGTCATGCCAATTTTCTTCCACAATTTGATCTGAGGAAGTGGGTCTGGCCCACGAAAGCTCATCACCTAATAAACCATCTTGTTAGTCTTGAAAACCTTTGGGTTTCTTAGCTAGCATACAGGATCCCCATGGCTCAAGCCTGCTTTCTAACTCCTCCTGGGCCAGTATGGGGTATCACATCCCATTAGAGGCACCCTAAAAATTGCCCCTGCAGTGCCTTGGGCATCTGGTGACAGGATCCAATGGAGTGGAGCTGGCACTTCACCGTGGCTGTGACGTCCTCCTGTCTCAAGAGAACAAGGGCGTGTCGGAGACCTGGATGCCTCCAGGAATCAGGGAAGATTAATGGCAACTGGCACCCTGGGATGAACTTGTCCTGTCTACTGACCTGCAGTGCCCACGCCACTCAACGGTAGGAAGACCTCTTCCTCCATTCCCTCTGTCTCCCTAAGACAGCTGCTGTTCCTTAGCAGCTTTTTGTTGTCAGATTTCTCTGTCTGGTTCTGGTGGTGATGTTCTTCCATTCCCATGGCTCCCTATGATGGGTGGAGTAGCCTTAGTAATTGGGAAGGGGGATTCATCCTAAATGGAGCAGGGGGAGAAGGAGAGAGACAGACTCATCCTCCAGCTGGAATTAATCTCAGAGAAAGTGGTGAGTTTTAGCAGGGCTCCCATCACCCAATGGGGGACAGTCTCAGATGGGAGGTGGATCATGTCTTCAGGGGCCTTGTTGCCTGGTTTCTGCCAGTGTCACTTTTCTATTAGGACCCATTTCCCAGCTGGGTTTCCTTACCTCTGGCGTGGCAGCAGTTTGTAGAGCTGTCAAATCCCCTCCTTGGCCAGTCAGGCGAAGTTCTTGTCTGAGTCACTGAAGGTATGTCTAGACTACATGGCTCTGTTGACGGAGCCATGGAGTCTAGACATACCCTGACAGACAGCACCCAGGCAGAGCCAGTGCCCAGATCACAATCAGTGTCCTGTGTTGCCTCCTGAGAGTGACCAGCTGTCCTGTATTTAAAGAGACAGACCCATATTTAAGCTCTCCCACAGCTTTGTTTGAGGGGCAGGGTGTTGTTATGCCAATAGAAAAACTCCTGTGTGTTTCAGCTGCATCTAAGCTAGGAGACAATGCTGGCACAGTTATGTTGACATAGGCTCCGTAGAGTAGACTTTCATGTAAAAAGTGTTGCAGGGCCTCAGGTTTGCAGGGAAAAGGCTGAAGACATGACCCGAGTGTATCCTCACGGCTCAGAAAGCAAAGACACATAAAAAGACCTACAATGAATTGTTTACCTCTCTTTAATCTCTTTATTTTAAGACAGTCTCGTGATTTTTTTTATTTGCCTCCTGATGTTGATTCGCCTGAGGTTGGCAAATAAGTTTGCATTGACATGGCATCTCTCAGAGGCTAAGATTCATTTTTGCTATTCCAGGAAATTAGGGAGGAGGCAGCAGGAGACTACAGAGTTAGTAGAAGGTTGTATCCATTCTGGCTGATACAAGTGGCATGTGGTGGACACAATGTTTTTGTTCCTGGGCAAGGTACAGGTTTTTTTGTACTTAGTAGTGTATGGCCACTGGATGCAATATCAACATTTGATAGGCATACCATGCATCTGAGTTTTCCTAGACATGACCTCCTCTTTGGTCTTGCAGTCATCGTCCAGACAGATAGTTGAAATATGAAAAACTTCCCTCAAACACGTCCATGGAAGTTGTGGGAAAGGGTCTGCCAAGAACTACTGGTCACGTTGGACCTCAGGGTTGTAGAGGAATCCTCTGTTGACCTCTTCACCCCTTCCTGGGGGGCTGCCCTGGATGGCTCCCTAGCCATCTGTTGACTAGAGTTGCTTTCTCTTGCCTGCTCACTCCTCTTTAGCACCCATCAGTTTGCTTCCCAGACCTTTAATCCTTCTAGCTGCTGTTAGCCTGCCAATCAGCAGTGACTGGCAGTGCCTGTATTAATCCTTGTCATCACCTACAGCCCCCAACTTAAACCCATCCAACACATTATCAATGAACTACAACCTAGACTGGAACAGGATACTAAACTCCGAGAGGCTCTGGGAGATAGAAGAATCAAGATGATTCTTACCAACAACCACAGGACATACCACACTAAAACCAACCCTGGAACCTTCCCTTGCAACAAACCCTGTTGCCAGCTTTGTCCACATAGTCACTCTGCTGATACCATTATTGGACCTAACCAATTGAGTTATAAGATCAAGAACACATATTCCTGCTCATCCAGAAATACAATTTATGCTATCAGGTGTCGACAATGTCTGTCTGCTATATACATTGGACAAACATCTCAGACACTTCGCCAAAGAATCAATGCCCATAAAACAGATATTAGGATCAAAAAGAAAAAAACAGTTTCTTGCCATTTCAACCAGAAAGGGCACTGTCTCAATGACCTGATTAGCTGCATCCTGCTTCAAAGACCTTTTAACACCAGACTTGAAAGAGAATCCTCTGAACTGTCATTCATGCTTAAATTCAACACATTACACCTAGGTCTTAACAAGGACACTAATTATCTTACCCATTACAAAGATAGCTTCCCCAATTATCACCTCTAATATTATTAGCTCACAGACATTTACCTCCCCCCCTCATCCCCCTTCTGTTCTGAAATTTGATTTGTCCTTTTCATACGTGTTCATTTTTTTGATTGTATTCTTGGGTATATATGGTTGTGACAATTTTCTTCCACTGTTTGATCTGAGGAAGTGGGTCTGGCCCACGAAAGCTCATCATCTAATAAACCATCTTATTAGTCTTTAAAGTGCTACATAGTCCTGTTTTTTGTTTCTGTATTAACCTTTGGGTTTCTTAGCTAGCATACAGGATCCCCATGGCTCAAGCCTGCTTTCTAACTCCTCCTGGGCCAGTATGGGGTATCACATCCCATTAGAGGCACCCTAAAAATTGCCCCTGCAGTGCCTTGGGCATCTGGTGACAGGATCCAATGGAGTGGAGCTGGCACTTCACCGTGGCTGTGACGTCCTCCTGTCTCAAGAGAACAAGGGCGTGTCGGAGACCTGGATGCCTCCAGGAATCAGGGAAGATTAATGGCA